GCTCAGATGGCTCAGCAATCAATAAATGATCAATAAATAATGCAGGGGGCTGGCTGCTGCCATCAATAAATGATCAATAAATAAATAATGCAGGCTGGGAGGGTGGGGAGGGGCTGGAATGAATCTCCCAGAGAAGCTGTGGCTGCCCCTGGATCCCTGGAAGTGTCCAAGGCCAGGTTGGAGCAGCCTGGGATAGTGGGAAGTGTTGGGGTTGGAACTGGATGATCTTTAGGGTCCATTCCATCCCAAACCATTCCATGATCTCCCATCTCTCCCAGCTCAGGGGTGTTTGTGTTTCAGCTCTAAGAATTGACTCTCAAACTGTTTTTTCCTTCTGGTGACAAATCCAAAGGAACTGGGGCCTCTTTGTTCTCCCTGTTTGCACAGAGAGGATTTGATCCCTGGCTCTGCCCAGTGCAGGAGTTCCTTCCCTGCCAGGAGCAGAGATTCCATGGATTTATATTTCTGTCAGTGCCTGAACAGTGCTGGCACACATGTTAACACCATAAACATGGTTTTTAGTCATTTTGAGACCCAGCAAACCCCAAAAGGCTTCAGAGAAGCCTTTCAAGATCTCCTGGGCTTGGACATCTGGAGATGCCAACAGGGATTTCAGGCAACCTCTGGCCCCTTCTCTCTGTGCTGGGCAGCACCCAAGGGGCAAAGCTTGTTGCCCAGAGAAGCTGTGGCTGCCCCTGGATCCCTGGGAGTGTCCAAGGCCAGGCTGGAGCAACCTGGGAGAGTGGAAAGTGTTGGGCTTGGACCTGGATGATCTTTAAGGTCCCTCCAACCCAAACCATCCCAGGATTCCACAATTCCTGCCCCAGGAATCAGAGCCAAGTCCTGGTGACCTTGCTCATCTCCAAGGGGGAATCTCCCTTTTTATACAATCCCTTTCTTTACAATCTGGGAATTTCCTTCTTTATTTTCCTTCTTCCTTGTCCTGGCAGTTCTGGGGCAGCTCCTGGAGGGGGCAGGGGAGGGTTTTTTGGGCACCTACCTGGTGTTTTTCCAGGAGCATCCGGGCGATGTCGAGGTGCCCGTTCTGGATTGCATCCATGAAGGGAGTGACTCCACACCTGTCCCTGCTGTCAGGTGGGTAGTGGCACCTGGGAGAGGAGAAAAAAAGCAAGGACAGAGCTTTAAAATCCTCATGGAAAGAGGCTGTCAGCAGCTGGGATCGAAAATGGAACATATAAACCCTGCTGGATAAACCTGTCTCAGTGTTTTAGGGCCTGGGGTTTTTTTTTGGGTCATAGATTTGGGCAAGCCAGGCTTCTGCAGATCATTTATAATTCCCTTTCCCCGTGCCCAGAGGGTCTCCAGGAGGGGCAAGGTGTGCCCTGGAAGCAGGGATAAAACCCAGATCCTCATGTGGGAAAATCAGAGCCCACAAATCTCATTGAGAAAACTGAATTAAACCTGAATTAAGCCTGGCTCAAACCACAGAGCTGGGCCAAGGTATTAACAAGGCCGGGCTTAGCTGCAATTCCCAGGGAAAGGGACCAGCGTCAGGCATGACTGGGCTGATTTAAAGCCACTCCACAGCCCAAAAACAAAAGCTAAGCCCAGCCTAGCAAAGCTGCGCCCCCGGCGCTGAGCTGAGCCGGCCACAAATCCACGGCCTTGTTGTTGCCCATCCGGCCTCGGGAATGAATCAGCAGGGAAAAGAAAGGCCCAGTTACATAACTGGGGGTTGTGGCAGCACATCCAGGGAGAGCCCTTGTCCTCTCCAGCCAGCTGGGAAAAACCTGGAGCGCGAGGAGAGAGCGCCGGGATCGCAGCTGCTTCTTCCCGAGTGGAAGCGGCACAAGCGGCCTTTTGTGTGTCCCACCCCCAGCCTGGCAGCAGAGGGTGGGAGGAGGGGGAAGGAAAAAGCTGGGAAGAGCCTGCTTACCGCTCCAGGAGCAGCTCCACGACCCGGGAACAGCCGTGCATGGCTGGGAGAGAGAGGGAATACACGGATCAGTCGTGAAAACCCACCGGTGATCAGGGTTCTGAGCCTTCCGGCTCAGGGAAAGGGCTCCAAGAGGCTGGAAATTCGGGATTTTTCACTTGGTTCTTTTGGCTGTAATTAAAAAAGCCCTTCCTTTCCAGGAAAACAGGAGATAAAGCAGGGAAAAGATATGATATAGACACTGTTTTGGCTCTACCTGCAGAGCACACGCGATTAAACCGAATTAAACCGGCACAAAGAGCCTTTTCTCCCAAGGATTTGTTGATTCCCGAAGGGAAATCCAGGGAGAAGCAGAAGGAACACAAAGCAGGGAGCTGAGGTGGCATTTCCACCCCTCCTCAGCCACTCCCATCCCATCATCCTAAGGAAGGATTCTTAAACCCAGAGGGAAAAACAACAACAGTGGGGGAGGATTTGAACACCCTGCCCTGAAATATTCCCAATTCATTCCCATTTTTTAAACATTTCCCATCACACAGCCTTGATTTGGCTTTTTGTTGTTGTTGTTGGTTTTCCCTGCAGGTCATTTTGTAAAACAAATGGAATATATTAAGGAAAATAATAATAATAATAATATCAAAGCAAGGCTGGAGCTGCTCCATCGGGAGATGGGAAAAGGGCTCCCCGGGAAATGTGTGTTACCAGGAACAACCTCCAGATGCTCCTTGAAATCCCAACCCCATCCTCCCAGATTTTGGCTCTTCTGAGCCCTGAGCTGATGGAAACACAAGGCTGGGAAAGGGATTTTTGAATGGTTTTAAAACCTTTTTTTTTCTGAAGGCTTTAAAAAAATCCGACTTATGGGGAGGAGGGAAAAAATCACTCCAAGCAACACAATTTCATCCAGGAAAAGCTGCCACACTCAGATCCTGCTGAATTCCACCTCCTCTCATTCCACCTTCCCAGCTCTCTTCCCTCGGGCTCCGGATACAGGAAGCAGCAAAAGCTTAAGGAACCAACCCCAGGGAGGGAAATGATCCAAGGATAAGTGTGCCAGGGATGCAGCTGGGCTGGCCACGGGTTACTGAGCTCATTCCACACCCTTGGGATGGGAATTCATGGACATGGGAGTTTGTCTTGATGTGATTGCCCCTGGCAGCTCCAGCCCCTCCATCCCTGTGGATTTCCACAGGGGGATATTGGTACCTCCTGGAGCAGCTGCCTCTGGAATCATCCTGAGTTAAATTATACTGGGGGAAGTGGTGGTTTAAGCAGCTCCAGCCATTCCCACTTCCCAGTGGCTCCCACACCTGGATCAGCAAAAGACCAGGAATCAACCCAAAATCATGGATATGTGGCTTTTCCACAGAGGAGGAGACACCTCTTTGGAGCAGGACAACTGGGTGCTGTATCCCAGTGTTGTCTGTATTCCCATATCCCAAGCGCTGTGAGGGAGGAGACTTCCAGCTCCAGGTCTAAAAATCCCTCCTTTCCCACAAGGATAATCCTCACCCTGCTCCCGATCCTTTCCCCAAATCCCACCCCAACACCCAGCTGTCTGAGAGGGAGCTGCCAGCTCCAGGGAAAACACAAAACCTGGGATGGGGCCGGGACAGGAGAACACACCAAAAAAAATCAGGATCTGTCGTTTCCCACTCGGGCAAAGCCTGAGACAAACAACTCATTCCCTTGTTTTTCATTCCCAGGTCAAGCACAAGGACTCCAGGTGCAGTTGGTGCCCAAGGGCTGGAATTGTCAGTGCTGATGGAGCAGAGTGTGACGGGGCAAGGGCTGGGAAAGGAATGGGAATGACAGGAAAGGAGCAGCACATCCAACAGATTAATTACAGCACGGCAGGGGGGGCCTCACGGACACCTCGGGTCTTTCCAGAGAGTCAATCCCTATTAAATTCTTTGGGAAAGGAGTTTGGGGCAGCCAAAGCTCGTCTCTCCTGTGGAGATGTTGGAATATGCAGCCAAATCCCACTTGGGATGGGGATTGTGTCCTTCTGCTTCCCACAAACCTGGGGGCGGATGTGGATCCCTCAACCACGTCATTCCCTTGATATTTCCTTTTGTAGATCCTTTAGATATCCTTCAAAAGCAAGGAAAAGGGCAGGGAACGGGAATTGGGCATGGTGGGCTCCAACTCCAACAGCTCCTGTGTATTCCCAGCAGGGATGATCCCTCCCTTTTGCAGAAAGGAACTGTGGATATCTCACCCTGCGATAATTCCTTCTTAAGAGCAAGGTGAGAACGGCAAAACCTCGAATCCATGACTGGAATCGTGGAATTGTTTGGCTTGGAAAAGAGCTCCGAGATCACGGAGTCCCAGCACTGCCACGGCCACCACAAATCCACGTCCCCAAGTGCCACATCCACGGGGATTTGAAATCCCTCCAGGGATGGGGACTCCACCCCTGCCCTGGGAAAATGTGTGTTACCAGGAACAACCTCCAGATGCTCCTTGAAATCCCAATCCCATCCTCCCAGATTTTGGCTCTTCTGAGCCCTGAGCTGATGTGGAAACACAGGCTGGGAATTTTGGGGGATTTTTGAATGGTTTTAAAACCTTTTTTTTTTTTTGAAGGCTTTAAAAAAATCCGACTTAACAGGGAGGAGGGAAAAAAAATCACTCCAAGCAACACAATTCCATCCAGGAAAAGCTGCCACACTCAGATCCTGCTGAATTCCACCTCCTCTCATTCCACCTTCCCTCAGGCTACGGATATGGGAAGCAGCAAAAGCTTAAGGAACCAACCCCTTCCAATGTTTAACCACCCTTTCCAGGAAGGAATTTTCCCAATATCCAACTTAAGCCTCCCCTGGAGCAGCTTGAGGCCTCTGAGGACACTATAATTGATCCATTGACAGGCAAATCCTTGGATTTTCCCCCAGGGCAATTCACAGCTTTACACACCAGCAAGGAAAAGCGTGTTGGGAGGTATTCCAAGATGTGGGAGCTTGGATATATCCATGCCAGGGAGGCAGAGATGGACACCTCGTTCCAAGGAAGCCAAAGCCAGTGGAGGATCTCCTGGGAGGGATCCACCACTGTTTCCCTGTGGTTTTGCTTCTCCAAAACCCACACAAGCTGGAACAACATCCCATTTTTCCCTGGAACAACACCCCCTTTCCCAGGAACAACATCCCTTTCCCATCCTCCCTCTTCCAACCCCCCTGCTTCCAAGGGTTCCCCCCTTTACCTGCCGTGTGCAGGGGTGTCCTCCCGATGGTGCTCTCCGTGTCCCAGATCCCTGGGGACACATCCAGGAGGTACCGGAGCACCTCGGGATGCCCTTCCCTGCTGGCAATGTGGAAGCAATTCCAGCCATCCTTATTCCTCAGCAGCGGGTTGGCCCCGTGCTCCACCAGGGATCTGATCACCTCCAGGTTTTTCCTGGTGCAAGCCATCATGAGGGGAGTCCTGGAAAGGAAATCCAGGGCTCGAATCAATGGGATAATCTGGGAGACAGGGAGGAACAAGCCTGATGTCCCACCTGGATCCAGGTGCACAGGGATCCAGGGGATTTTACAGCCCTGCTTTTCCATGCAGGGAATACAGAGTGCAGCTCCTTTTCCACACAGTCCCTCAGAGCACTGTGTGTTTTTAAGGCAAATAAGGCTTTTTCAAAGGTTAGGAAGCACCCAGATCCCAGTTTTTAAATCCATGGATGGATGGAAGGGCACTGTGGGCCTGTGACACAAATCCAGGCACGGGCAGCTCATGGAATCTCAGCCTCCCTCTTCTCCCCCTGATGTCAGATCCAGGCTGGCCCAGCCTCAATTCCCAGCACTGGAATGCTGCCTTTGGAATTGCGTCGGTTCAGCTCTAAAGGAGCTTCCCGGGCTTTGATTTGGGAGGAATAATTTATAACTTTTAGGAGAAACGGGGGGAAATCAGTGATAAAGCTGGAATTTATCCCAAAAAGGCACTGGATCCTGGGCTCATCCCACAGCGTGGGCAGCAGGAGAGGGAGGGATTCTCCCTCTTTGCCCTGCTCAGGTGAGATCCCACATGGAATTCAGGTCTGGGGTCCTCAACAGCAGAAGGATGTGGAGCTGCTGGAGCAAATCCAGAGGAGGCTCCAAGGGCTGGAGCCCCTCTGCTCTGGAGCCAGGCTGGGAAAGCTGGGAATGTTCCTCTGGAGAAGAGAAGGCTCCAGGGAGAGCTGAGAGCCCCTTGCAGGGCCTAAAGGGGCTCCAGGAGAGCTGGAGAGGAACTGGGGACAAGGGATGGAGGGACAGGACACAGGGAATGACTTCCCACTGCCAGAGGGCAGGGTTAGATGGGATATTGGGAAGGAATTGCTGTCTGGGAGGGTGGGGAGGGACTGGAATGAATCTCCCAGAGAAGCTGTGGCTGCCCCTGGATCCCTGG